TTTTCCCTTTTTAAAATAATTAGTGCTTTTGTGTCAAGAAATATTTGCTATCTAAGTTTGTTAAAATATATCTTCCTTATTTTTCTTTTCTAGATTTACAGTTTAGCTTTTATTTTAAGGTCTCTGATCTACCTCAAATTAATTTTTTAGTGAGGTGTAAGGCAAAAATTGTGGCTCCTCTTTTCTATAAATATATTTAGGGGTTTCAACACCATTTGTTGAAAAGAGTGTCTTTTCTGGACTGGATTATTTGGGGTGAAGTTCAATTGACCATATGTATGTGGATTTATGCTTAGACTCTTTATTATGTTCCACCAATTTGCTTCTCATTCCTTAGGCCAATATCATAGTGGTTTATTGTGGCTTTAAAATCTTTTAAAGAGTATAATTCTTCCAATTTTGTTCTCCTTCAAAATTATTTGAGCTATTTATGTGTTTTTGCATTTCCATGTAAAGCTTTCTTACATCAATTATATTTTACCAGAAAAAAAAAAAAAAAAGACTGAATGTCATGGATGTGTATGCCCTTCCTTCCTATGGCAGAAAAATAGAGCTACCTTTATTACTCGGGCACTTGGTGTTAATATACTCTACCACCTGTCTCCTTCTCCTTTGCCTATTATGTTATTAAGCCCCAGGTTCAAGAAGAACCAGAAAACCCTAGACTGTTCAAGAAAATAACTACCAAATCTACTTAAATGGTTACAATTCAGGTTAAAGATGATAAAAATCAAAATGCTTTAATTTATTTATATTATTGGAAACTACCACAAATGACTATGTATTATAAAAGCCTTAGGAAGAACTGAGAATGAATATAACACAACTACAATACTCTAAAAGGTAATGATTTTTGTCTTCTTCAATAGAAAGCTTTTAATTAAAAAAATTATTCTTATATTCCTATAAGAAAGAGTTCTTACCAAATTTACCTGTTTTTTTCCCTTACAGAGAAAATTCTTCCCTCTTAGTGATAATGATATCTAAATATTAGCAGAGAAAACGTTTCCAAATGTTCTGAATTTTGTATATGCACTTAAAACATATTTCCAAATCTAGAACACTTCAAAGAGTCACATCTTCATATCTGATAAAAGCATTCTTATTATTCATATTAGATGCAGTATCTATTGAGCCTTCATCATTCTACAGAGGGAAGTTTCTCTTTTGGAGGCTGACTAGGTGTAAATGCACATTAGGTTCAGGTAAAGTTGCACTTGGTGTGAGGCCTTACTGCATGGACGAATCCCCACAGAAGACTGAAGAGCACCCAGTCTGCTGAGTACCTAGCACAATTAAATATGCTGAGACAACATCTAAGGCTGCTGGGTTCATATCAGAGAGGCAGATACGGAAGGTGAGATTCAAGCCAAGGGAAGTACAGGGCAGAAATAAAAGGCTGCTGGTGCCAGGGCCACTAAAGCATGTTCTGCAAGCAGGATGGAATTTAAGATTTCTTAAGTCCAGAGGTCAAATACTTCCACTGAGGTCAAGAATGAGGGAAAGGTGTTACTTAGCAACCAAATGGATTTTGTTTATTGTGTAAATTATGATTGCCAAAGTACAAAGTTCACTCACAATTAATATACTTTGGGTTGTAAACTGTCAAATCCACTTTCCCCAATCCCAGTCCCTTTCATGTAGTTTGCCAAGAAAATGCTCTTAGATGTGACAGGCTATTGGCAACTTCTGGGAAAGCTGAAAGAACAGTCTGTATTATGGAGGTGGGGGTGCAGAGCCACAAACAGAGAAAGGACAGGGAGAGATTGGAAATGACTTGCCAAAGTGCTTGAAACTCCCACCATTAGTCACTCATGGATTCTTCAGAATTGGAGGGAGTTAGAAATCTTCTAGCTCAATCCTGAGAAGTGGTCACCAGCCTCAGCTGAGGTACTTTCAAGGACTATGTGTTTACTGATTCCTGTGTGGCTACTTCCACTATTAAACAACTTTTATTCCCTTAGATTACAATTTTGTCTCCATAAGACTTCTGTTAAAATGCATATATGTCAGCTCATAAGGAGTAGTAAGTCACTGAGAGATTAACGCTTATAAATTTATTATGAGCCAAAGGTAAAATCCTAAGATATAAAGTACAGAATGAATATGTTTTGAAGTAGATTGGAAAGGTTGACCTATTTTGCTCATAAAGGGGTATCCCGAGTAAACAAGAGTAAACAAGGCAGCATGATGGTAGTAGGCCCTTGGAGAAAATGCCAAAGGAAAAAAGTGGGAAGGGCTGTGAATGGCAAGGGCTGCAGAAACTGCATTTTGACTATTTAAAAAAAATGTATGGCTGGCCTGTATATGCCTAAAAACAAAGAATTAAGGTAAATGGAATCAGGAGATCAATAAGAACATTAAAAAAGTAAATACAATGGAAAATTACTCAGCCATTAGAAAAAATAAAATACTGTCATTTGTGACAACATGGATGGACCTTGAGATTATCCTAAGAGAAATAAGTCAGAGAGAAAAAGTTGAGAACCATATGATTTCACTCATATGTGGGATATAAAACTGAAAGCAACAAACCAAGACAAACAAACAAAAACTCGTAGACACAGACAACAGTTTAGTAATTGTCAGAGGGAAAGGGGGGCGAAGGGAGGTGGATAAGAGTAAAGGTGGTCAAATACATGGTGACGAAAGATTTGACTTTGGGTGGTGAATACACAATTCAATATATAGATAATGTATTATTGAATTACACACTTGAAACCTATATAATCTTATTAACCAAAGTCGCCCCAATAAATTTAATAAAAAATTGATAGAAAAAAAGACCATATAAGTACGCAATAAAGCTGTTATAAAAATGTAAAAAAATTTTTTTTTACTTCTCCATCGTCACTTAAAGCTGTAGAAACAAGTACACATTACATACCGAGAATTTAATTGGAAATGTGCACTAATTCCTTCAAGGCTGTCTGAGGGCAAAGATGAACGAGCTAAACTTTACCAAGATGCAGATTTCATAAACATAGTTTTCTTTGCACTTAAAAAACAGATTCCAGTCTCTACGGCTACACTTAAGTGTCGCTAAGAGTAGATTACCAATGCTACCCCGACAAACTTAATTTTTAAAAAGTTAAAAAATAAAAAGAGTAGATTACAAATTCAAGTTGGCCTTCTAAATAGCTTTATAGTTAACAAGAATACATAAAAATGTTAACTTACTGCTCTTACCACCTATCCCCTCATTGTCCCTTAAAGGTTGTCTTTCTTTTACCTTTCAAATAGTCAACCTCTTGTGAGAACACAGCACACGGAGTGCAAGTGCTACAGGTGCAGATGACACTGCCTAGTGCCAGAGAAGACAGGTGTGCATAGCAAAAGAATGGTTGAAAATAAGGATACTTAGTGAGTGCTAACAGACTGACATAGTCAAATAAATGCTGGATTAAATGGGGATTAGCTAACTAGAATAAAATAAATTATTTTAAGAATACAGAGGTGAAATCCCATGCAGCGAACTGGTAATCGGAAACAAAACAATATAAATGAATACACTCACGGTATCTTCTGAGGTCATTATATACACATTCCCATTTTTATATGCAATGTTAGTTTTAACTTTTTAAAGGTATGAGCAGTTTACCTTGCTACCCGAGCTAACATTAAGGTCTAAGAGCAATGGCCCATGAATGACATTTAGGGCTATAATCAAATATGATTCAGACAAGTTAATCAGAGATATATGCATATACTGGCTATTTTGCCACACGATGACTAGGTATAAATGGTAAATTGTTATGTAAATGACTGTTACCACAGCTAAACAAAGTAGTTTTCTCTCTTTTTAAACTTACGTTGTCAACTTTAACACTGGTATTTTTTCCTGAAGATATATATGGATCGATCCTCACTGCCTATATACAGCAAAGTCCTTCCTCTGACTCCCCAGCATGCACAGACCCTTCCCTGACTTGACTTTTCTATACCTCTCTTGGCCATCTGTGGAGTCCTTAGGCTTTCTGCTCTCCTCTCAATCTACTGAGTGCTACAGAGCCACTGAACCCTGAAGCAGGGCAGGGCTACCATGATACAGGGGTGGGAGGGCCAGAGCAGCAGGGTTGAGGCAGAGGGGCAGAAAGGCCAAGAGAACAGTCTCCTGTCAGGGGTGAGAATATTCAGAGGAAGGATGACCCACAGGACCTGGATTCAAGGCAGTGAGGTACTCATCACTTGGATTGGCTCTTAGATGTAGTGATTCCCAGCACACACCAGGGAACTACCATGTTCCTTAATCTGGACAGTTTCTCCTTGTCTGCCTGCCTGAAGCAGTCTATGAAACCTTCTCTCTCTCACACACACAAATAGTTGCCATGTTAGAAATACCCGGTTTGGCATTTATAAGGTTAACATGTTTTCTCCAGATGCAGATTTCATTCATCCTTACTAAATACTATCTTTTGGATTTAGATTCCTAGTGCCAGCTCATTTGGATAATTTACCATCTTGGTTCATACAACAGCCATTTATCAAAGCTTTGGGTAAGAAAATGTCAATGCTCTGAAAGAAATTATAATTTATTTGGGTGGATATTAATTCAAAGTTAGCTAATGATATGTTGGCATATGTCCAGGGGAGATAGGATATGGTAGAAACAGCATAGTGCTAGGTGTTAGAGGACTTGTTTCCTGACATGTACTAGTTCTGTGACTTCAGGTTAAGTACTGGTGGGACTTCAGTTTCCTCATATGTAAAACAGAGTGGAAGCAGGTGAGCTCTTATTTCTTGAATGAAAGTTTTTCATTAGAAACATCTAAGGGCTCAACAAACAAGTTCTAAGATGGGCAGTGAAGGAAGAGGGAATAAAAGAAAGAATTCCTTTTCATTTCCCTTAAAATTGCTCTATTTACATTTAAATTACTTCAGGGTAATAACAAGGGAGAGAGGACAGGGCATGACTGGAGTAGGGATTCAGGATTTCTCCAAAGATACAATGGAAGTTAGGTCTTAAAGGACAGGTGATGCGGGGCTGGCAGGAGTGGAAGTCCATTTTGGAGGAGAGAATTATGAGAGCCCAAATGCAGAGGTGTGCCTGTGGGAGGGCAAATGGGTCAGGCTCACACAGGGAATGGTAGTTTGGGTTTTATCTTCCAGATGTTTTCAAAATTTTAAGTATTATTCCTGAAAGCAGGGGAACCATTGCCAGTGGAAGTGTACATGAGGTCTTTGAGCTCCCTCTTGGTCTCCCACTTGCCCACATGCAGCCCTTAGCCTACTAAACCCCTCTGCCTCTTGAAGCACAGCCTGAAATCACTAAGTTGTGAGGTATGATACGACTCTTCAATACATGTGCCTGATAAAACCCAAACAAAAGAAAGCACTGCTACAGGTGGTTAGGAATCACTAAAAGTTGCTGAGCTGGGGAATGGCATGATCAAATATAATGTGATGGTCATGGTCAGTATTAACTGTTCTAGGGAGGAGGCTAGAGGTATAGAATCCAGTTACTGAAGATTGTACAGTAGTCCTGGCTTTAGGAGCTAAAATCTTAAATTAGAAGCAGTTGGGTATATTGGAAAGTATCAAAGACTTTCCTCCTGGTGGAAAATTCATTTATTTCTGAGTAGAATTACAGTGTTGAGCTGGCCTAATGGTTCCTTGCCTGGCTTCGGGACAAACAGTTATGATTATTGGGTGAGAACGAAAAAGAGATTTGTATTTAGCACAAAGGAAATTTTCCTAACAAGTAAGGCTCAATTTGATGATGGAACAGACTGCCTGGCATGGTGTGAGGTTCCTGTAGCTGAAAGCATTCCAGCAGAGAATGAATTTATGTGCTGGTGATGTCATGGATGGAATTCCTATATTAAATGGGAGCCAGGACTGGAAGACCACTAAGGTTTTTTTCAAACTAAAGTGTTCCATGAAATAGGACTATAGCTAAAGATATATCAGAATCAAATAAATCCTTTCGACATAGGAAAAAAAAAAAAACAACTCATGCATGCTTAAAAATGAAGAGCAAAGAGGCACTGAAAAGAGAGAGATTGGGACTGCGGGAGAAAGAGAGATTATATTTCATTTAGTAGTTATATTACCTTTGCAATTTTTCCCATTTCATAGATATCTGCTTTCTGATCTTCAGTGTCCATGAAAGCAGTTTCAATTCTGCTGAGTGTCTGTTCGTGGTTGCTGCAGGCATCTGGGAGTCCTTCAGGAAAGTAGAACCGTGGAATGTTTATGGACAATGGTGCATTCACAACGTTATTCACACGAGGAACAGGGGAGAGTTGTTGGGGACTACTTGGAAAGGCGGCTGGAGGTGGAAGTGGTGTTCCAGGTTTCTTTTCTGGTTTATTTTGAATCTGGAAGAAAAACGTGATTATGAGACACATAAATTATTAACAGTATATATTTCTTGAAGTCCTCACCAGTAATAGGAAGTTGGGTGTAAATACGAAAAACCACAAGTCGAGATCAAGAGCTCACTTCACTCTAGAAGGTGGCAAGGATGTTTCTAGGGAATCTTTATCCATATTAAATAAAGACATCTGTCAATACCTGAGTTTACATAAATATATGCTTTAAAATTCTATAGTATATTTTCCCACCAATTATGTTGCAGACATTTAAGAGCAATGTCAGTTGACATACTAAGGACCCTGAGGTGTATTCTTAGTCTGTTGGCATTGAATTGGTAAATTCTTTTTGAATTTACTGTTTCGGTCTTCCTGTACATTTCTACTTCAACAGGAAGCTAGAATGAGTTCTTTCTAAATATACAAATATAAAATGTATTGGGGGGAGTATCCTTTCACCTTCTTCTCTAGCTTGACTTTGTCTACGTAGAATCACGGCCAGTTCCCAATAAAGTCATTGTTAAGAAAATTAAGCATTTTCGTTTTAGAATGTTTTCTACCAGGCTGACTTACCTGCCATTAGGGGCATGCCATTTTTTCTGATACAAATTTCTCTCATTTTTGGTACACTCTAATAGGCAAGGATCACAGTTGTTAATTTCATTACAGCCAAACTTCTTTTACAGTTTATTAATTCACTTATAGTTTATAGTATTACCTTTTCCAAAAAAGATCTGATGTGGTATATCATAAAGAAACAAAAAAAGAGTATAAAAAGGTGGTGGGGCGGGTAATGGAAAGGTTAAGATTATTCATGATTTAAGGAAAGGTAAAGGGAGGTACACAAACATTCATGTAGAAATTTATTTTACCAATGAAGACTAAATTTAGTTCTGAGATTCCTAGAAGAAAAAGCAAAAGATTCCATGGAGATTTTCAGAGTTTTAATTTCTATTCTTAATTCTGACCAAATTATTTATCAAGGCTTATGAGCATGGCACTGTATTGGATGCTATATAAAGTATAAACGATAGACATGACCATTGACTAGATTTATTTTAAATTCACTGTGAACACAAAGTATTACTCGAGTGTCCTTCCTTAAATTATTCTAATGCCATCCCTAAAGTCTGAACAGTAATTTATTTGTAAGTAGATGTGAATATCATATTTCCTTTTGAAATAAGGGCTTACAACATGATCTTTAGATTCAGGATAAAAATTTTAGCTACCTTTGACAAACATGAGTGTTATAGGAAGATAAGCTTCATTCACAAAAATAACAAATATGATTTCATCTTCTACTTTTGTTATACATGGCCCATTTCTCATGTTACTATCTGACATTAATATATAGAGTCTGCTCATATATTAATTCTACTGAGGATATGAAAGCCAGTTGGTCACAGCAAGCCTTTGCTGCAGTATCAGGATGTCAGCCACATAAAGCAATAGTCAAGGAAGAAATGGCACAAAGGGAAGTGATGACAACGAAATATGAAAAACTTTAACAGAATATAGTGATGGCTTAATAGCGCTATGACCTCAGTAAAATTCCTTAACCTTTTAGAATTTCATTAATAAAACAGATTATAGTCCTTATTTCTTGAAAGGTTGTGATGAAGATTTTAAAAAATTACAGGAGTCAGGAGTAAGGAAATTACATAGGTAAAAGTTTCAGAGCGGTGCTAGGCACTGATATGTCCTTATTTAAGAAAACGAGTCACAGGCCAAAGGGTGGGGTTCTCAAAACATTAAATAAATATAACTTAGCATGGTTCTTCAGATTCAAAAATAAATAAAATGACCATTTATATTTGTAATGCAATTTAAAGTTTACAAACCACTTCTGATTTAACAAATTGATAATCTATTATAAGGAAACGTTTTTCTCTTCCTTAATGCTAAATCTCCAAATATTATTACATAGTCCTATGAGTCAGTAACAGTAGAAACTGTCCTTAATCTTCTAAAATAAGGCACATAATTCTTCAGGGGTTTTATCTAGGTCGTCTACATCAGTGTCATTTCCTTTCTATATTCTATGCTGAAAGAGATCTGTGAGACTACAAGCACACAATTAAATTTTTGTTTGTTTGTTTCCCCAAAATGTTTCCCATGGTGTGACATCCAGGGCAGTTATAACCATAGGATTAAGACCACTGGTGCCAGTGGGGATGAAACCCAATAGTCTAGTGAACACATGCTAGTGGAGAAGGTTTAGAGCAAGGCCTTCAATGTTAACTCCATACTTTTGCTTTGACAGAAATAAGTGACATTCGAAACAAACCTTGGCTAACTGTCAAAGTTTTTATTTGAATGGAAAAATATTTGATTATATAATAGTCTACTTTGCTTTCCTTAGTGTACTTCTTAATATGGAGCAATTCACTGGTAGGCAAGTATTTATTAATTCATTGGTTGATTCCATATTTAATAAAACATGTTACTATTTAAAAGGAAAAATAAAAAGAATGCATTTATTTTGAATTTTTGGGTGTATCAATTTACTTTTCATTTAATTCAATAGGAGATACATAATTTAAACCTTAAAGTAGTTTAATAAAACCGACTCTAAAAATATTATAGAATAAAACACAGTAATATAAATTTTGCCAGATTTACTGGCAAGTTTAGCATATGCTCACTTTGAATAAAACTGTTTTACTCAAATCTAGGAACAGCACTAAAACAGAATTAGCTGGGTAAAGTATCTCAATTCTCCATTTCAGTCTTTCTTTATAAATACAGTATTTAGATATTCATTCTGAATAGAATCCTTATACTATTATGTTATTGCAATATTTCCAATATTTGACCATTTTTGAGCCATTTTTTAAAAAGCAACTTCATATAGATTAATAAAATAATCTGAAATTACTCTGGATCCAATTAACTATGAAATTATGGTTTCTTGCTGGATTGTGGATGGCCATCATTTGTATGCCTCTTGATTTGTATTGTTGTCATGTTAGGAAACTTGTTTGGTGAGAGAGACTGGCCTTAGGGTGTAAGCAAGTTAGCATGAATTCTTCTAAGTAGTCACAGCAGAAAGAAATTACTCAATCTCACAGCCTACTGAGGGAAGGACATTCTTTCACCACCAAGAAGTTAACTGCCATCCTTCATTACCTACATACATTATATTATACGTACACAGTTGTCTCTATATAAAATACATTATTCCTTAAAAAAGAGACTAACAGGATCAGTACTTTAAATAAAACCGTTCATTACAGATGTATGGACGTTAATACAAACATAATCTATTGATTTGAAGTACAAACACGACTTTTAACACAGAAATTCTAGTTTCTCAAAGATATTTCTATTAAAAACTGCAGTATTTCCCGCACTAAATTGCAAAATATTTGTTAATTTGTATTTATCATCCCTAAAACTGGATTCCCTTTCTACAAGAGAAAAATGTGAGTACTGTACTCCAGGTCCAGAAGGTCTATTTTTAAACCTGTTGGAATCTCTCTACAAATAGCTTTCTGCAAATAGCTGAATAGAGGACACAGATTAATTCCTTGATCTAAAAGCAAGTGAGCTATAAAATTATTTGTAAGTTATCTCACTGGGTGGTTTTATTAGTAATAAAAATATTTTAAAAGAAACACCCAAGTTTCAAACCTGTGTCTGCTGAAATGACTTCAGCCGCTTCTTAAACCGTGACGGGAGAACAAAATCACAGCCCCGTGCCAGGAAAGCTAACTCTCCCCTTAAATCCGGGTCCCTTCGTAGAGATGTTTCCTTGATCATCATCTTTGAAAAGTGGATGTTTACTTAGAAACTGTCCAGCACACTTCTGAAGATAGTCAGATTTAATAAGTTGTCAATCTCGTCAGAAAGATTTTTTTCTTCTTATCTCGCAAAGAAATTAAGTTCAAGCATTGTGCTCTCCCAGCCTCCAGAGACCACAATCCATGCTTGTACTGACAAGCAGCTGGTTCCCAAATACAGCTTGTGGCTCCCAATACCTGTTCATAATTTTCAAGTTAGAAACACGGCCTGCAATGGGCCTGTTGCTCCTTGTAGGTAGCTTTATGTCAAATTGATCTGCACATGTTGAGAATACAGAGCCTTCTGGGAAAGAAAGCATCCACTACTCTGAGCACCAAAGTTAGAAGCATTACAGTGGACCTAAAAATAGCAACTTCTCAGATAATGCTAACTTCTTAAACTCCGAGTATGTGAGGTGTCGATCCACATAAAACAGTTTCTCCTCAAACTAGAAGAGAAAGAACTTTAGAGTGTTTTTGATTTTGCTATATTTTATGAAAAAAGAACAAGCTGTACTTCAAACTTTAAAATATTATTTTAAGAATATTTATTTATTTGAAAGGAAGCGAATATCTAAAACCCTCACAATATATCCAGTCAAAATATGGAGAAAAACAAATTTTCATACTCAAATGGTAACATACAAGGAGTTTTGTTGGTCTCAGATTTAAAAAGTAAATCTTTTGTTTGCAGAATACTATCTTAGCCATAAAAATACTTTTGGAAGTAATTCTAGATCTGGATATATCTGAAAATTTATTGTTGAAGTGTTAAGAAAATGGAACAATTCAATGCCATAAGAAGCAGCTTCAGATATATGTGTGCATGCAATTTGGCTACAATAAACACATAAAAGCTGACTCAACAGCAATGATAATACATCTTTAATTTGTGGGACTTGATTTTTCTTCAAGGAACTTTAAACAAATCATATATTTTAAAAATACTCTATTGTTTTGATCATATATTAAATCTCTGACTCATATATTTAAAAGTGACTCTCCAAGTACTTTCTCATGTTTAATATTTAGACTTACATATTTATTTTTCAATCAACCACATTACTTAATATTTATTTTCTACTTCTAGAAAATATAAACCAAATATCATTACCAAATAAACTCCCAAACCAAAAACATCTTATAACCTTCTTTTTCTGAAACTTTGTCTAATTTGGTGAGAATGACATTCCTTAGTTTTCCAGGGTTTCCTACAACTTG